GTCTATTTCTCTCTAATACACGCACACACCCCCCAGGAAGCATCCCGTAGCAGCTGTCTAACTCCCAGGTACCTATTTACTTGCTACGTGAACAAGAGCAGCAGCGCGAAAGAAACTCTGCCCATTTGTTTTTGCCTCTGTCGGGGGATCAAACCCACCGGGTCCTTAGGACTACGACCCAAGAGCGCTGTCCACTCAGCCGCGAGGCCCCGAGATGTTTTGTGTGTGTGTGTGTGTGTGTGTGTGTGTGTGTGTGTGTGTGTGTGTGTGTGTGTGTGTGTGTGTGTGTGTGTATTGCACACTCATGACAAAAAATACACTAGGGACAAACTCTAATACGTTAGCAATTGTGAAACTAAATATACAAGATGACCACCAATGAAACAATCCTGATGAAATATCAGAAAATACTACGATAAAAAGGCCGGAAATACCCAGATAAGTTATCACCGTGGGAAATGAAAGAGGCAGGAGAAATTACAATACACAGCTGCCTTGTCAAACAGCGTGTTGGGGTCATGAGAAACCAATCCATTAACATAATGTTTGCTAACATCAAAGGGAAGCTTTCTTGTCCGTGTTGGCGACCTCACACACTCACACACAGTTTGGTACACAAGTGTGATCCCAGGCACAGCCAGGTATCCCCCCCCCCTTTTGTTATGCAAACCTCAACCAGTATCTCGTACAAAGTTATTTTGATTAACTCTCAGAACTCTGTTTAATAAATCGTTTGTTCTTTCCCTACTCATATCACAGGCCCCCTCACTTGATTCAATGATTACTGACGTACCTACAATCATACTTGATTGCGGTCTCCTGGAATATCTTAACTCATCAAACCAGCAGATGGTCTTCAACTCGCTGGTAATCCCGACGGAGCGGGAAGAAGAAGAAGAAGAATCAACTAGCGCAACTTTCATATAGGGCAAAAAGAATTGATCAACCCTCCACTCAGAGCCAGGAGCAACTGAATGGCAAGCCTTGCTCTAGGGGGACGTGATTGCCTTCATCAATTCCATGATGAAAACCATAACTATGGTTAAATAAATAGATGGATAAATAGATAGATGGATAAATAGATAGATGAATAAATAGATAGATGGATAAATAGATAGATGGATAAATAGATAGATGGATTAATAGATAGATGGATAAATAGATAGATTATAAATAGATAGATGGATAAATAGATAAATAAATAGATGTATAAATAAATAAATGGATAAATAGATAGATGGATAAGTAGATGGATTAATAGATAGATGGATAAATAAATGAAAAGATTGGTGGATAGACATATGGGTAGATAGATTTACAGATAGGCGGATTAATTGATAGATGGATAAATAAATGAATAAATAGGTGGATACATAGGTGAATACATAGAAAGATGGATAGATGGAAGGATGAATGGATACATTTTTTAGATAAATGAATGGGTAGGGGGAGAAATAAATTGAAGAATATATAAATAGAGGGATGGATAGATAGATGGTTAGATGGGAGATCTAACAGCTACACTACCCCCACCCCCCCCCCCTAGTATGTATAAACAACACGATACAGCCGGTAAAATCATACATATGAGTTGAAAGATCTTAGTGCTCAGTGGTGGTGAAAAATCTGTCTATTCATAAAATAAAGATTATATTTATTCATCGTGGCGATGAAGTTTGTTTCTTGGTTAATAATAAAGAGCAATACTCTCTCATCTTAGCCGTTAAGGTCCCCCCCTTAAGAAACTTACAGAAGTGAGGCACATCTCACCTCACCGACAGCAGTGGTTGCAAAACCTTGTTCATAGGCCATGTTTGCTCCGGGCTTGGGTATACAGCGTTTTATTCTACCCACCTCGAATTATTTCTCTGACTACAGGATGAGGAAGAGAGTTATGAAAGAGGATTCCTCTCTAGTTTTGGATTTTACAACATATATACGCTGAATATAGATTCTTTTATAATGTCAGCCGAATATGTGAAGGTCTGTGAGCTCCCAGTTGACTCCAGCTTTATCCAATACCAAAGAATACTAATAAGCCAATTAAATAGGTCAGTTTCTAGGGCCAGGCTTAAAAGGAATTGATACAGGATAACAGTTCCTTGCTTGTTGTACTGATTTAGGAATATCAGTGATATTTCTCTAAGCTTTAAATAGACAGATAAGAGAAACAGACAGAGGGAAGGACAGGCAGACAGACATAATGAGAGACAGAGAGCAACCCTCCTACTGTCTCCAACCCCCATGGCTAACACTACATATATCTGGTAATTTACACCAATTTTCTTCGGAATATTATCCCTCCTTGCTAAAAGTACTATACAGGAAGGGATAAAGATAGGACTTATTGTCCCTTAAATGCTACTTTTCATTCCAGATGATACTTAAAAAAGAGTCGGTTCATATATGTTCCATCGAGCGGCTGTCTGCCGCTGACAGGAGACATGATTGCTACACTCTAGCACTCGACGGCCGGATGGAGCCCCACGATGTCATTTAGCTCAGCGCTGAAGACTTCTTTATGATCACTTTGAGTTGATCTTTCATATAATAAAGAAACATCCGGTCTCCTCACGCCTCGGGCGGTTATTATGTGGGGATGAAAACATGTAGCTACTGCTGATACTCTTTTCTCTACTTCTGCTCGGGCGATAAATGTATGAAATAAAATCTAAATTGTATAAATGAAAAATAGGAATACATTAGAATGTTGGCTTTCAGATGAGTAAGTCTTTTACGCGAATTTCCCTGCGTCCAAATCCCCGGATCATTGCAGCATTGATCTCGCCATGGGCACAGCGACCGACATAGTAGCCCATGCTACCCTGTGCCTTGAGAGCCTCGACCGCTGATATCATAAGCCCTCAAGAGCCCTTTATTTTAGGGGTTACTGATGCCATAAGCCCTCAGTGCCCCCTGATACTCGGGGTAATTGATACCATATGCCTACAAAGACCTTGATATTCGGGGGTTATTAAGCCTTGACAGGCATCAAACCTTGCGTTGTTAGGTAATGCAAGACAACGTTGCCTCCCCCTTAACAACCAGCGTGTTTAAACGATGGTTGGGTGTTTATAAAATAAATTAATAAGAATGATGTTGAGTTACAAGTTAATGTCTTATTTCATTGCATTAATAATTACTTGAGTATTGGAAGCCATCTTTCAAGTTGATAATATTTGTAACTACACAGGGCTATATGTCAATAATTAAGACTGTTGAACGTATATATATACAAGTCTATATTTTATTATTGAAATTAGTTAAGTAAACTTATATTTGGTCTACAATAGGTTAAATCTGGGGGCCGTCCTTATTTTCTCAGAGGATTATATTTACTTTTATTATTTTAACAGTGCAAAATATGCGTGAGACAGTACATGGATTGTACATAGGGCTCTGTTGCTACATATACAGACATACATATCGTTATTCATTTATTTAAACTAGAAATACTCAGGCAGGATAAATGTAGTTTTTTTTAAATCAGAACAATAATATATGTGTGTGGAGAAGCGTTTTATAACATTGTAGATTATATATTATCTAATATAATATTTCGAAATAACAAAAAAATGCTGTTTTCAACGTATTAACATTTTTGTTTGAAAGTACAATGCAAAATACATTAAGCAAATGTCAAACAAGTTTACTGGTTTCTCAGTTGGGCGAGGGATGGAGGCCTGGGTATACGAGTACCCCGGGGAGCGGACGAGGGCTCGGCCCCTGCAGGTGGTGGACACTTTGCGCCTATGAGGCCCTAGAAACGGGACCTAGAACCCTCACCACCAGCAGGTGGACAGGCTTCTTCCCCGCGCCGTTATCTGGCGTGGAGAACTTTACCTCGAGGAAGGGAATTAGCGCTTCTTTGGGGGATGGGAGGGTGGCGTACCTGTGGTGGGGCCTGAGCACGGCGGTAGCCAGTAACGGGTAGTCGCGGGGGACACTGGTTCGTAACTGGTTCGTTCATTCAGGGGATATTTAGAGATGGGCCGATTTGCGCCTTAAGTGAGAATATATATAGTCAAGTTTAGGGTTTTTAGTTTTCCACCACACAGCCTTTCACCTCTCAAGTTTCCTCAGCTACCGATACTTAATGTCATAATTTCTTTATTACTCTTCATCAATTCCCCTGCTGCCGTTATTCTTCTCTATTGGGGACGAGGAGAAGAGCAACGAGCAATAGACAAACTCAAAAGTAAGGAAATATCTTAACAAACTGACGTAAACCCGAGACGGAAAACGGATTTTTGCACTTGGGAGACTGATTAATATTCCCAGAGTAAGCTATTCCGTCGTGTCGCTTCAGTGGCCCCTCCTCGGGTAACGCGGATGACCTCGTTTAGTACACGGAACCAGGTGTTAGCCCCTGCCTTCCACGATACGTCACGCATGCCCACTCTCCTAAGACTCCCTCGTCGTCGACCTGACTGTGCTCATGTCTGCCCTTCCCTGACCACTGTTGCCCAGTGCCCCAGACACCTAACTGCCCGTCGCCCAAACCTGTTCTGCAGGCCGGTTATCTCCTGCAATCCTATTGCGACTTATTAGGCAAGAACCGTTTGTCCCAATACAAACATCTCCAGACTGTTGTTTACGAGCGCAGGGTAAGCGTAAGTGGCATCTTACGATCTCTCGCCCAAGGCACAAGATGTGAGTCATAGGTTCAGAGGGTTTATGTGTACTTTTGCCTCTAGCAATTGTTTTAGGTTTTCTTCCCAAGAGCACATAATTAAACTATAATTTGACTAGGGGAAAAGGACGAGGCTGGAAAGTGTAGTGTAGACTGGCGTGGTTGGTACAAAGATTTGTTTAGGTGTAAGTATTGCGTCGACTGGGAGCGAGGAACCGCGCCGACATGCCGGCCAAGGTCACTACTGGCGATCGCATTGAAGTCTCCCAGCGATAGGAAGGCGGTACCCGACGTTTTGGAGCTGTGTTACTCGGTGGAAGTCGCTCTAACAAATTTGTAATCCAAAGGAATGGCACTCGCTTCTTACCTCTACAAGCTAGTCACTGGTCACCGGCACTCTTGGTCACTGTCTCTCTCACACACGAGATACTGTTCGCGGCACTGACGCGGGAGGTGCCGGTGTGAGAGTGGTGGAAGAACAAGTCCCAATACGTCACAAGGGAAGCACAGTGAGTGGCGAGTGTGCCTGCCTGGCTGCTGTTGCCTCCTTGATCCGTCCACCACGGCACTGCACACTCAACTGAAGGTTTCTGCCTCTCGCCTGTGCCTCATAATGTCTTCGGCGCCGCCCCCACCGCCTCCTCCAGGCCCTGACGAACGAACTCACACCTTGGCCACAAACCCCTCCTCCTCCCGCGTGACCAGCTACCACAAGGGCACAACACACCGTCTCCACCCCATAGCGTCTCGGCAACTTCCACGCCCTTCTTCCACTGGGCTCGGCGTCACTTGAACTTGATCATGAAGGAATGGCAGCGAGTCGTAAGGGCGCCTCCGCCCTCGACACTGACAGTGATCTAGACCTTACCAGCTCCCACGGTATCGTAACTTGGTGTCACGCACGGGCCATTCACCCCAAGGAGGAAGATAGCGGTTGTAGGTTGGCCTAGACGGTTGCCGGATACTCCCACCACCGACACATTATACATCCTTTTCGTCCCAACTTTCCCACTAAATGTATATCAATCCACCAGCCGCTTAGAACAGACTGAACATGGTTGACTAATGCAACGTGAAACTTAAAGAAGAAAATGGGTTCATAATGGAAGAAGATATCCAAACTTGGCACACGAATATCACGCAGAAGGACCAATGGCGCTGCTTGGCGCTGGGCCCCGGCAGTCGACGTCTGGCTGTGGTGGGGGGAGCATGTCGCCAGCACCGTCACTTGTCACTCTTGGCTCCTGAACGTGTCACATTTTGCACATCATTCTTTCTTCTTCTGATTGTTAATCTAAAAAGCATATATAAATGCAGAAATATTACTACAACACATTTAAACATTGCCCAAAGTCAGGGAGCCACAATACTATCAAGTCAATCACGGAGCCACAGTACCAGGGTGACAGTACCAGGGTGACAGTACAAGGGTGACAGTACCAGGGTGACAGTACCAGGGTGACAGTACCAGGGTGACAGTACCAGGGTGACAGAATACCGGGGTGACAGTACCAGGGTGACAGTACCAGGGTGACAGTACCAGGGTGACAGAGTACCGGGGTGACAGTACCAGGGTGACAGTGTACCAGCGTTGGTTAGTACTAGGGTAACACATTATTAGGGTGACAGTACAAGGGTGATAGAGTATCAGGGTGACAGAGTACCAGGGTTGGTTAGTACTGGGGTGACACAGCACCAGGGTGACACAACACCAGGGTGACACAGCACCAGGGTGACACAACACCAGGGTGACACAGCACCAGGGTGACACAACACCAGGGTGACACAGCACCAGGGAGACACAACACCAGGGTGACACAACACCAGGGTGACACAGCACCAGGGTGACACAGCACCAGGGTGACACAACACCAGGGTGACACAGCACCAGGGTGACACAGCACCAGGGTAACACAGCACCAGGGTGACACAGCACCAGGGTGACACAGCACCAGGGTGACACAACACCAGGGTGACACAGCACCAGGGTGACACAGCACCAGGGTGACACAGCACCAGGGTGACACAGCACCAGGGTGACACAGCACCAGGGTGACACAACACCAGGGTGACACATTACCAGGGTGACACATCACCAGGGTGACACAGCACCAAGGTGACACAACACCAGGGTGACACAGCACCAGGGTGACACAGCACCAGGGTGACACAGTACCAGGGTGACACAACACCAGGGTGACACAACACCAGGGTGACACAACACCAGGGTGACACAGCACCAGGGCGACACAGCACCAGGGTGACACAGCACCAGGGTGACACAACACCAGGGTGACACAGCACCAGGGTGACACATCACCAGGTTGACATATCACCAGGGTGACACATCACCAGGGTGACAACACCAGGGTGACACAGCACCAGGGTGACAACACCAGGGTGACACAGTACCAGGGTGACACAACACCAGGGTGACACAGCACCAGGGTGACAACACCAGGGTGACACATCACCAGGGTGACACAGCACCAGGGTGACACAGCACCAGGGTGACAGAGTACGAGGGGGATACAGAGCCAGGGTGACACAGCACCAGGGTGACACAACACCAGGGTGACACAGTACCAGGGTGACACAGCACCAGGGTGACACAGCACCAGGGTGACACAGCACCAGGGTGACAACACCAGGGTGACACAGTACCAGGGTGACACAGCACCAGGGTGACACATCACCAGGGTGACACAGCACCAGGGTGACACAACACCAGGGTGACACAGCACCAGGGTGACACAGCACCAGGGTGACACAGTACCAGGGTGACACAACACCAGGGTGACACAACACCAGGGTGACACAACACCAGGGTGACACAGCACCAGGGCGACACAGCTCCAGGGTGACACAGCACCAGGGTGACACAACACCAGGGTGACACAGCACCAGGGTGACACATCACCAGGTTGACATATCACCAGGGTGACACATCACCAGGGTGACAACACCAGGGTGACACAGCACCAGGGTGACAACACCAGGGTGACACAGTGCCAGGGTGACACAACACCAGGGTGACACAGCACCAGGGTGACAACACCAGGGTGACACATCACCAGGGTGACACAGCACCAGGGTGACACAGCACCAGGGTGACAGAGTACGAGGGGGATACAGAGCCAGGGTGACACAGCACCAGGGTGACACAGCACCAGGGTGACACATCACCGGGTGACACAACACCAGGGTGACACATCACCAGGGTGACACAGCACTAGGGTGACACAGAAGGTAACACAGGGCCAAGGACAGTTAGCGGGCTGGGTTACTTCCGGTTGTCGGTCAGCTAGGCAGGACCGGTTTAGAATGCTCAAGTGCAGAATTTTAGCTGAGTGCATGACTGTATGTGAGTGGATGACCGTGGCTGAGTGCATGACTGTATGTGAGTGGATGACCGTGGCTGAGTCCATGACTGTATGTGAGTGGATGACCGTGGCTGAGTCCATGACTGTATGTGAGTGGATGACCGTGGCTGAGTCCATGACTGTATGTGAGTGGATGACCGTGGCTGAGTGCATGACTGTATGTGAGTGGATGACCGTGGCTGAGTCCATGACTGTATGTGAGTGGATGACCGTGGCTGAGTCCATGACTGTATGTGAGTGGATGACCGTGGCTGAGTGCATGACTGTATGTGAGTGGATGACCGTGGCTGAGTGCATGACTGTATGTGAGTGGATGACCGTGGCTGAGTCCATGACTGTATGTGAGTGGATGACCGTGGCTGAGTCCATGACTGTATGTGAGTGGATGACCGTGGCTGAGTCCATGACTGTATGTGAGTGGATGACCGTGGCTGAGTCCATGACTGTATGTGAGTGGATGACCGTGGCTGAGTCCATGACTGTATGTGAGTGGATGACCGTGGCTGAGTCCATGACTGTAGGTGAGTGGATGACCGTGGCTGAGTCCATGACTGTAGGTGAGTGGATGACCGTGGCTGAGTGCATGACTGTATGTGAGTAGATGACCGTGGCTGAGTGCATGACTGTATGTGAGTGGATGACCGTGGCTGAGTCCATGACTGTAGGTGAGTGGACGACTGGCTGAGTGGAAGAATATAGCTGAGTACATGACTGGAACCAAGTGGATGACACTAGCAAAATCAGTAAAGATTAATGGTGGGATTAAAATAGCTCTTATCCTAGCTACAACAGTAACAATAATAGTCCATGTCCTTGTGACACAGATAGTCATAGGTACTGTCCTGCTGGCTAGGATGGAATAGTCATAGGTACTGTTCTACTGGCAAGGATGGGATAGTCATAGGTACTGTCCTGCTGGCAAGGATGGGATAGTCATAGGTACTGTCCTGCTGGCAAGGATGGGATAGTCATAGGTACTGTCCTGCTGGCAAGGATGGGATAGTCATAGGTACTGTTCTACTGGCAAGGATGGGATAGTCATAGGTACTGTTCTACTGGCAAGGATGGGATAGTCATAGGTACTGTCCTGCTGGCAAGGATGGGATAGTCATAGGTACTGTCCTGCTGGCAAGGATGGGATAGTCATAGGTACTGTCCTGCTGGCAAGGATGGGATAGTCACAGATACTGTCCTGCTGGCAAGGATGGGATAGTCATATATACTGTCCTGCTGGCAAGGATGGGATAGTCATATATACTGTCCTGCTGGCAAGGATGGGATAGTCATAGGTACTGTCTGCCTGCCTCACTCTCCTGTCTTTGTGTCGAAATATGTAAATAACGTAGATATTTACATATTTACTAACGTAAAATATTTAATCATAACATAAACAAGTAAATAAGAAATAACTAGAAATAAGTAAATTATTAAAGTTTTTCAGAAATGTATTGACTATAAGACTACTTAAAGCTTTGTTAAGCTCATCTTCACGTTTAAGTGTAAATAGATCTACACTTATACTTTGAAAATTTTTCTCTGATCAACTTTTTCTGATTTCAAGTTTTCCAATTTGATCTGACCTTCAATAATCACAATTTGTCATCTTTTAATAGCAAGTTTGAGCATATATATGATACTGTATATTTTTGACGCCGTTTGGAATGAGAGGCTACTATGGTAGGTTGAAGATCATGGCACCAGAGGAACCATACTGAACTGGATCAGGGCATGACCGACTCAAAACATGGGGCGCCACTCCGTCATCAATTTAGTGGAGTCGGAGTTGATGAGTGTCACTATAGTGGTGGTGCCGCAGGGGCTCTGTATTCGTCCCACTCGGTTTTTCATTGTTTACATCAATGACATTGCTATTGGGGGAGGCCAGTAATTTATGCAAGTTTGAGGACGACACGAAGATAGGGCGCGTAGCGAAAGATGTCTTGGACGAACAGGAGTGAGACGTCCCCTGAAGCAGATGTCGTGAAAGCCGCCTCGACATGTAACTATAAAACCAAACGTGACAAAACATTAGAAAATCTGGCGTAACAACTCCAGGATAAATAGCCTGGAGGCGGGACCCTCGAGCTAGATCTCGGTCCCCGTAAGCACTGTTAGGTAAACACAGTCAAGCACTGGGTCATCACCAACTCAATCACTATCAGCAACATGACAAATGG